CAATTGGTTTGTCTAATCCAAACCGTCTGTGCCAAATGCAAAAAGTGTCTCCCCCACTATATGTGTAAGTGTAACTTCCCTTCCTTAAGTGAGAAAAATAACGGGCGCCACATCTTTACTGTCGCTTGTTTGCTTCTGATTCTATTCTCTGTTGATGCGTGTAGAAAGCATGTCCGAAACGCGTTCTATGTTTCGTGAGAAAGTTCTCACTTGTATGTACGTGTAAATGTTTGGCCATTTATAATAAAACCTCAGAATTGCATTATTTTGCATTATATTTATGATGACTGAGCGATTCTGACGAGGACACCAAAAGCACTTTATAGTAATATTGACCCAACTCCCTTTGCACACTGTACCGCTATAAATTAGAGACTCATTTATATAATTCAGTGTACTTTTTGACTTCAACTATAAACGCCAGTGAAGAGAACTATATGGATACACTTATTAAACCCAGTTCGGCTCAGTCACACATTCGCTGTTGGTGTTAATTTAACTGTTTCCACTACTTAATATAACAAAGGGAGTTGTTATCCTTACCTGTCCGGAAATGCACTTCAAGATACAAGTGAAAATGCTGGAGCCTTGTGCTGTGCTGATTAAAGGCGGAACAAAGCCAGATGAGTGTCTTAACCTCAGACAAGTGTATTAAATAGACCAAGGTTACAAGGGAGGAGGGGGGAGGGGGAAGCTAAGATAACATTCGTTTATCACTTTATTCTAAGACATCCGAGCCTTTGTGGTCTGTCTATTGGAAACTTACAGACTGTTGACCTCATCTAAACAGCAAGTCCAAAAGTTCACCTAAGTGAATCAGCTACATTTGAGGCATAAAGATTAATAAAAGAAAAGCATTAAACATTTAAAATGCCAATAACATCAAAATAATAGTTATGAATCAGAATCAGAATCTGAAAGAGCTTTATTGCCACACACAAGGAATTTTCTTTGGTACTGAAGCTTCCAGTGCACATATACAGATACAAATACAACAAGAAACAGTAATACAAATTATAAAAATAAAATTATTATAAAAAAAATATGAAAGTACTATAAAATATAAAATATAAGGCCACAGTTGGGTTTAGTCAGAATAAACATTTACAGATTATGAAAATATTTACAGTATTTTGAATAGTATGAATAAATAAAAATATAAATCACCTGAGTTTGGAAGATATTGCACTAAACAGTGGGAGTATTGCACTACAGGCATATGCCTTGGGAGGTGTGTTAACTGTTCAAAAGGGAAATGGCCTGTGGGAAGAAACTGTTCCTGTGCCTAGATGTTCTTGTGGCCAGTGATCTGAGTCGCCGTCTTGACGGTAACAGTTCAAACAGGAGGTGTCCAGGGTGAGTAGAGTCTGAGATGATTTTATCTGCTCTCTTCCTCACTCTGGAAGAGTACAGGTCCTGGAGGGTTGGCAGGGGGGCACCAATAATCCTCTCCGCAGTCCGGACTGTCCGCTGTAGTCTCCTGATGTCTGATTTGTTAGCTGAACCAAACCAGACAGTGATGGATGTGCATAAGACAGACTCAATGATGGCTGAGTAGAACTGAATCAGCAGCTCCTGTGGCAGGTTGAACTTCCTCAGCTGCCGAAGGAAGTACAGTCTCTGCTGGGGCTTTTTCACAATGGAGTCAATGTGATTGTCCCACTTCAGGTCCTGAGAGATGATAGTGCCCAGAAACCTGAATGACTCCACTGCTTCCACAGTGCTGTTCATGATGGTGAGTGGGGGGAGTGCTGGGCTGATGAGAAACACATCAACATGATAATAATGATTTCTGTATAAGCAAAGGATAAAACATAAGCAAAAAAAATAAATAAAAAATTCATGAATGATAAATGTATATTTTATGTTATTTGTAATGTATCACTTGACTTTGACTAGTTTATGGTACGTATGCGCAATAAATTATTAAAAAGAACAGGAAGGAAGGAAGAAACTCCATCACCAGCTCCATCACAGTCTGGTTCTGCAGTTGTACAGCACGGGACCGCAGGGCTCTGCAACAGGTGGTGAGAACAGCCGAAACCATCACTGGAACAGCCTTAACAACGCTGGAGAAGATCGACCAGATCAGGGTCAACAGGAGGGCCCACAACATCATTAAGGACAGTAGCCACCCCCAGCATAACATATTCACACTTCTACCATCCGGAAGACGCTACAGAAGTGTGAAAGCAAGGACAAGACTGAAAAACAGCTTTTACCCACAGGCCATCAGGCTTGTGAGTGGTACTTACCCACAGCCCCTTCCCCCAATATTGCTAAAATTAAAAATGATAATATAAAATAGTTTTAAACAAATGTTTTACATGACAGTAGGCTAAATAAAAATGAATTGCCTCACAAATTGTTCCATTCTTCCTATGTCACTAAAAGCCTACTGTATTTTATATCAGTTTGAATATTTGACATCTGCACATAAGGCCTACTCATCTAGACACATCTATAATTGTCATCTAATCAAAGCTGATGAATAAATAACACTGTAATATTATTATAACTTACATTTTTGATAATAATCATTTTGCTAACACTGACATATATTGCAAAATATTGTAATTTGTAACATGTTGCAACCATCCCCAAACAATGTTGCAACTGTCCCCGGGCCCGGGCAACATCTGACTCCTTACATTCAAATGCAAATTGTGAAAAATGTAGATTCTGTAATGATCTTTAAATGGTTTAGACTATTAACAGACAGATGTAAGATTATGGTCTAAACAATTGGTTTGTCTAATCCAAACCGTCTCTGAGTAACAGCGCCAAATGCAAAAAGTGTTGCAACTGTCCCCGGTCTCCCCTACCTGTCCAAATGCAACGTCTCATTAAAATGCTGATGTTGGCATCCATTATTTCTTCTAAGTTCTAAGTGCAACAATTTTTTAGTTAGTAGTGCGGCTAAGCAAAGCATTGTTCTCTGGCATGCTTCTTTTTCTTCTGGACAAGATGAAGAATCCACATGAATGAGGAGTTTTAAAATCGTGCGGCTTATTGAGGAGAGGTGTGCTATGACTTTTTTTAATCGATCGGTCGTACGATGTTTGCTTATCGCTTATAAAAAGTCCCATAACATAGGCACGAATTTTGACAGCTCCGAGCGCGGATTTTGTAGTAGAAACATGTGGGTTACCACATTTGAAGAGGCTGGAAAGCTCTGTAAGAACATACATTTCCCTGAGGGGCAAGAGCTGCTAGAATTGCCCCACAGATAGGCCTACTAGGCTACGGTGAAGGGACTGCCGATGAAACCGGTGCGCACACGTGTTTATTTTCTATGGTAACTTGCATATGATTTTTTTATTGCACAAAGGCTAACTGGATCACAATGTTATAGAGACATGAGGGTGCTCATTTTACTCAAGCAACCAATCAGTGTCTCAGGATGACAGTGAAGCTATCAAGCCATGCCCTAGCAACCATTTAGAGCACCCTAGCAACAAGCTCCATAGACTTCCATTCAAAGAGATCAAAAGGGATACAGAAGTGTCTAAAGTTCACACAGTCCAAATCCGATTATTTGTGTATCTGTTTGGAATCTGATCTAAAATTACCCAGCAAGCAATTTTGCATCTAAAAGACGTCTAAGTCGAATAGCCGTCAAAACACAGCCCAGACGTCTAGGCTAAAACAAGGCTAAATTTGGGCTGTCAGTGAAAATCTAATAGATGTCTAACCAGAGCCCAAGAATAGACTCAATTAGACGGCTATTAACGTCGGAGATCAACGTTGTTTCGATGCCACGAGAAACATAATTTCTACAATGATCCTGTCAGTTTGCTGCCTGGGCCGTGCAGTCTCCCGAGGAGAAACTGAAACAAATGAGATCAGCACAAACAAACTCAGTTAACATCAAAATGTGGAGTTTTTATGTTTATAACATAAGACACAGTTAAGCAACATCACACTACCAAGAGTGAATACCATCACGATTGAAAATGTGACACTGATTACATAAAACAGTTCAATAAACAAACAATATTAATGTAAAACATTTTAGACACAATATTGACTGTGTTGTTCTATTTCAGAAGCGAATATAGTTCCAAACAAAGATCACAGCATTTTGAACTAATCAGTCAAGTCAAAGATTTAAAAAAACATTCATAAACAATTGCCCAATTCAGAGGCTGCATCCTTCACATTCGAAGGCTGATTGCGTCACAGCAGCACAATGAAGCCTGTCCCAATTAAATTAATCTCAGTTTATTGCCTAAAGCCAGGGGTACATTTTATGTATAATATTTATAATAGTCCTTTATGATTGTTGCTTGTCAGACTGTATGAAAATGATGATCGCTGTAAGTCATGTCACACTGTAAGATCTCAGTTGTCAATGATGTCAGACTGTACAGCAGTCAAGATGCGTTAAAAACGAGTAAGAAAACAAGTCCGGAGTTTTACATCATCAACCAATGAATTTCGTCTGAGGTAAAATTTTATTGCAACGGTCATTAATCGGCTGTCGGTGAACATGTCAAACTAACGTTCAAAGACTTCAGATTTTAGCGTAGGATCAGAGGATTCTTTTAGGATTTGCAAAATTTGTCTCAGACGGCCAAATCGTGGCCAAAATTGCACAGTGTGAACCCGGCTTAAAACAAAAGCTACGACTCCTGCATTGATATTGGTAACACTTTATTTTACGGTGTCCTTGTTACATATGCTACATGTACTTACCGTAGTAATAACAATAAATTGTGTATAATTGCATGCAACTTGACCTCAACCAAATCCTAATCCTATCCTATAGCCCTATAGTAAGTACATGAGTTAATTAATATTACTCAGTACTTAAATATATAATTACACTGTAACAATTGCACCTTAAAATAAAGTGTATCTGAGATTTTATTTTAGTAGTGTGGACTCACTCTGAGAGATTTTAAGAACTGTCCGACTAGACAGAACATACTACTAACACTTTAAATTGTATTAAGTCTCATGAAGTCGTTAAGTCAGAAATGATCTCCATTTGAGAAACTGTTTGTTTGTTCCTCAGGTGTGTTTGGTGCTGAAGACGCAGTGAAGACAGTGTCAGTGATGGAGGGAGATTCTCCCACTCTAAACACTGATGTTACTGAAACACAGAAAGCTGAGCTGATACTGTGGACGTTTGGACCTGACAGCACTCGTATCGCTCAGATCAACAGACTGGTCAATATGGTCTCATTCAACCCGATCTCACGACCAATTCGTACGAATTTGTACGAGTGGCTAATTCATAACAATTCATACGACCTGGCTCGTACGAATTTGTAGGATTTTTGCTAAATCGTACATGTTTTACGAATTCCAAATTCGTATGAATTCATACGAATGACCTACCCCTGACCCCGCCCCTAAACCTACCCATCACGTGGGTTTAGACAAATCGTACGAATCCGTACGAGCCAGGTCGTATGAATTGTTACGAATTAGCCACCTTTTAATCATTCATACAAATTCGTACGAATTGGTCGTGAGATAGCGTTGTCTCATTATACAGTAATGCTCTTGATGGGAGATTCAGAGGCAGGCTGGAGTTAGATGATCAGACTGGAGATCTTACAATCAGAAACATCAAAACTGAACACTCTGGACTTTATGAACTACAGATCTTTGGCGGAAATGTGGTCACAGCCCAAAAATTTAGTATTATTGTTTCTGGTGAGTAGTTAAAATATATGCATTCGGTTTGATTTCATTGCTTTGCAGTCAGCAGCAAAAATGATTAATATTACAGTTTCTTTTATAGTTGGCTAATTGAGATGATGACGTTTTTACGTTCTGCTCAGTTGATAGGGGAAGTAACATTAAGTTAAATCTAACTAACTTTATAGTATATACAGTAACAATATAATAATATAACTATAGTACTCTTTTTGTGAAGAAAAAGTACATACTTTTGAGTGTGTAGCAAAAGAGTAGGCAAGCTTTGGGACATACTACTTCGTCATCTTTAACGGACAGATCTGTCGCGTGCGTCCTGTCACCGTAAACTGCCCTGTCAATCATCTCGTCACAGTTAAAATCCTCCATTCAATCTAATTAAATGTCCTACCGTTTCGGAGAGAAATGTTGTGGCACGTTGATCTGCAGTCGTGGGTCATTAATGCGGAGACTCCTTGTGTTTGCAATTTGAATGTAATGATGCATTTAAAAGTTAATGGCTAAACGTATCTTTACAAAAGTTCACAATGCTGCTGCAGATGCAATATAATGTAGACAACATTGAATAAATTAATTTTCGTCAGGTTAGATACTGATAATTAATCACTCAAACCCCTTTACCTAAACTTCTCTACATAACCGCCGGACTCGCGCGTCCTCCATGTCTGTAGTTTTTTAACACTTTTCACTCGTGTTTGCAGTTCTAATCGAATCCTCGTCCAACGCGCGATGGGTTGTGGGCAATATCAGCCGTTAGAGTGCGCATCGATCTGCACTTCGGATTCTGACCGGAAAAAGTAGACCATCCGGGTCTCTGTGGAACACTCATTTCAACATACTACGATTTGGGACGTACTAATTCTATTTTCGAATACTATTTAGGACGGATAGTATGAGAATTGGGACGCAGCCCTGGTCTCACTATTCACAAAGAAATGTATAATAACCAAATCTTACATTATAAGGACTATATTGCTAGCACCAAAACCCACTACTACTCCAGAATAATCATTGCCAATAAAGGAAACTCCAAGTCACTGTTTTCCCTACTTAACAATATCACCCAACCCCAGGACTTTCTTCCCCCCTCACTTGTATACAACCTCCTTCTGCAACTCCATTATGTAATTTTTCACAGAAAAAAATCAAAAACATCCACCAGCACCTTGGATCTATCCCTCACCTCAGCATCTCAGCTGACTTTCACCCATTCACACATTCATTCTCTTCCTTCCAGCTCCCCACAATTTCAGAAATCACAGAACTCATCAGGAAATCCAAGCCTTCCACTTGTCAACTTGACCCCTTTCCCACACAACTTGTTAAAGCCTGCCTTCCCTCCCTGGTTCCCCTCATCTCGGATATCATCCACTCCTCTCTCACCACTGGAACTGTCCCTACATCATTCAAAACTGCTGCCATTACCCCAATTTTGAAATTGGTGCTGATCCCTCCAACAACTTCTGTCCTATATCCAATTTACCATTAATTTCCTAAATCCTTGAAAAAACAATTGCCTCTCAACTCCATTTTCATCTTTCCCACAAAAACCTGTATGAACAGTTCCAGTCCGGTTTCCGTCCACTTCATAGCACTGAAACAGCACTTATCAAAATCACCAACGACCTCCTTGTGGCAGCTGATTCTGGACTCCTTACCATCCTCATCCTCCTCGACCTGAGTGCAGCCTCTGATACCATCTGTCACACCGTCCTCCTCAACAGGTTATCTTCCATCGGCATCACCCACACTCTGTTAGACTGGTTTACATCTTATCTCTCTGGACGCACTCAGTTAATTCAATTTAAGTCTTTTAAATCCTGTCCCTCCGCCGTCACTTCAGGTGTGCCCCAGGGCTCTGTCCTGGGGCCCCTACTTTTCATCATTTATCTCCTTCCCAATATCTTCTGCAAATTTAACATTCAATTCCACTGTTATGCTGATGACACCCAGCTCTACCTCTCGACCAAACCCTCGTCCACTAGAATGTGCACTTTTATAGGCTACATGTTAAACTTCTTCAAACTACTTAATCAAGGTGGCTCTATTTAGATAAATATTTATATAATTGTAATTGATTATTCTCTGTTTGTTCTCTGATGTTTTCCAGCTCGTCTGCCAGTTCCTGTCATCATCAGTGACTCTTCACACTGTTCTTCATCATCATCATCGTGTTCATTGGTGTGTTCAGTGTTGAATGTGTGTGATGCGACTCTCTCCTGGTACGCAGGAATGAGTGTATTGTCCAGCATCAGTGCGTCTGATCTAAGCATCAGTCTCTCTCTACCTCTGGAGGTGGAATATCAGGATAAAAACACCTACAGCTGTGTGCTGAACAATCCCATCAGCAACCAGACCACACATGAGAAACTCATATAAATCTATAGATCTGAAGTCGGTTAAATATAATAACTCGCTTAGAAAATTGAAATAATGACTTTAATCGTTGCTTGTTTAAAAACGTCATTTAACTCAGAGATTAGACTCTAAATGAGTTCAGGACTAATGATTATTATGTTAAAACATAACCATCACCACCTGATCACTCCTGAACTCCAAACTGAATGTCAGAATGGGAAAGAAAGGTGATTTAAGCAATTTTGAGCGTGGCATGGTTGTTGGTGCCAGACGGGCCGGTCTGAGTATTTCACAATCTGCTCAGTTACTGGGATTTTCACGTACAACCATTTCTAAGGTTTACAGAGAATGGTGTGAAAAGGGAAAAACATCCAGTATGCGGCAGTCCTGTGGGCGAAAATGCCTTGTTGATGCTAGAGGTCAGAGGAGAATGGGCCGACTGATTCAAGCTGATAGAAGAGCAACTTTGACTGAAATAACCACTCGTTACAACCGAGGTATGCAGCAAAGCATTTGTGAAGCCACAACACCCACAACCTTGAGGCGGATGGGCTATAACAGCAGAAGACCCCACCGGTACCACTCATCTCCACTACAAATAGGAAAAAGAGGCTACAATTTGCAAGAGCTCACCAAAATTGGACAGTTGAAGACTGGAAAAATGTTGCCTGGTCTGATGAGTCTCGATTTCTGTTGAGACATTCAGATGGTAGAGTCAGAATTTGGCTTAAACAGAATGAGAACATGGATCCATCATGCCTTGTTACCACTGTGCAGGCTGGTGGTGGTGGTGTAATGGTGTGGGGGATGTTTTCTTGGCACACTTTAGGCCCACCTGAGCATTGTTTCTGACCATGTCCATCCCTTTATGACCACCATGTACCCATCCTCTGATGGCTACTTCCAGCAGGATAATGCACCATGTCACAAAGCTCGAATCATTTCAAATTGGTTTCTTGAACATGACAATGAGTTCACTGTACTAAAATGGCCCCCACAGTCACCAGATCTCAACCCAATAGAGCATCTTTGGGATGTGGTGAAACGGGAGCTTCGTGCCCTGGATCTGCATCCCACAAATCTCCATCAACTGCAAGATGCTATCCTATCAATATGGGCCAACATTTCTAAAGAATGCTTTCCGCACCTTGTTGAACCAATGCCACGAAGAATTAAGGCAGTTCTGAAGGCGAAAGGGGGTCAAACACAGTATTAGTATGGTGTTCCTAATAATCCTTTAGGTGAGTGTATATCTAGTAAGGTTAATTCATGGGCGATTCTAAACACTGATTCTAAACACTGATTCAACGAAGCTTCGAAACCTTTACAAATCTTTTGTTTTGAGTAGATGGATTGGAGCGTGTATCAAACTGTCAAAGTCACGTGATTTCAGTAAACGAGGCTTCGTTACATCATAGCTTTTTCAATATGTTTTAAAATGTCAATGATTCACCGCTGTCAGGCGTTGATCTCTGTGAAATCATGCAGATTCAGTGATATCGCTCTCAAGTGGCGAACCATTGAACAAGTGGTTTTAACCTGATCTCTGATCAGTTTTATACATGTGTAGATGTTTAATGGGACATTTGTATTATTAAAGGAATAATAGTAGTTTTATGCATGTTTCCACTGTTCTGACAAGCAGGGGTCGCCAGCGTGTGGTGTTTTGAACGCTTCGAAATATGAATAATTTTGCAAAGCAATTGGATAAATTGATTCGAAGCTTTGAAAAGCTTTGTTTCTCCCATCACTAGTTCAGTCATGAAACTCTATAGGGCGCAGGCTTTACATTCTACAATGTTTAATCTCTATCTCCATTTCCGGTTGTTCAGCAGACAGGGTCGTTCCTGAGAAAGTTGAAATGAAGACCGTGTCAGTGATGGTGGGAGACTCCATCACTCTAAACACTGGCATCACTAAAATACAACGCTGTGATGTGTTACAGTGGAGGTTTGCTAAATCAGGCACAGATCACACAAATCCTTTTGATATCATCGCCAGACTGAATGAAGTGAACAATAGCGGTAGTCACGATCTTGATGACCGCCTGATCCAAGTTCATGATGTCCAAGTTCACCTGGATCACAAAACTGGATATCTCACTATCAAGGACATCAGACTTACAGACTTTGGAGTTTATAAACTAAATATCATCAGGAATGGGAGAGATATGATCTCCAAGACATTTCTTGTCCAAGGTGAGAAGCTCAAATCTGTCAGTGTAATAAAGTTAGAACAAATAATACATTTTACTGGATTGATTGGATAAATGTGGCCCTCTTTGAGTATTTGTAATTGTAACATCAGCACTTTTTGACACTATCTTACAGATTCCTCAGAAAGAGAAGATGCGTCAGAGGAGACAAACTCACTGTTGAAGAACGGACAGATCTCTGAAAGCTCTCGTCTATAGAGAGCCTTCAAGTCTATCACCCTGGAAAATGTGTTTGAAATGATCCTGCATGCCTGTGAAAAGTATAATGACAAAGGGTTTCTTCTAACTCCACACTAACATATTTTTTTTGTTATTTGTTATTTTAAGGTTGATGGAACGTGTTACCATTAACCGTGATCAGGCCCGTCGGAACAGGACAGGCAAACCAAGCAATTGCTTGGGGCCCCGAGCTGGACTGGGGCCCCAAGACAACGACTATTTAAGAATAAAATGCCACGACAAACTGTGAGCGCCCCTTTGATAGTCAATGCAGTAAAGTGCAATGACACTGTTATCGGAATCCCCCTCAAGGGGGCCCCCTCAGTAGTCGCTGACAGCAGCCAGCCAACGTGATCTCTGCTGCCGGCAAAATACAAACCTCCTCGGGAGTTATCATGAAGCGGAATTATGCTTCAGGAAGCCAGAAAAGAAAGAAGAGAAAGGAAGAGAAGGTTAAGAAAAATACCAGATAGTGGTAAAGTAATAAATTACACTGCATAAAAATAGCTCTACTTGTCTTGTACAAATGGTGTAATTTTGCAGCAGGTAACATTAGGCTAGCAAAAATGTGTTTATGTTAGCTACCTGCCTGACGGCAAATGCTGCTTGTAACGAACAGTTAGTGCAAATTTTTTTTCGAACGGACGGAATATGGTTAACGTTACATACTGTAATATGTTTTTTTAACGGTTTAAGGAGTTCCAGAATCACTGTTTATCGTATTTAATGACATGACATTGCTTTTGATGAAAGTGGCATAGCACAACTATTCCACCGTGATAATCTATTTACCAATGGGGGTTAGGAAAACCACACAATAAATTCCGTGCATCAAACATTAGCTTGGGATGTTTTTAAGCATTGGTAGTGAAAGCAGCATCCCTTCCCTTCTAATATCAAAATATGGAAATGGTAACATATCTTTAAGTTTTCTGTAACACTTTATAATAACAATCATTAATAGATGGTAAATTGTTAGTTATTTAATATTTAGTTAATTGTCATTTAACTGTTAGCAAACAGTCTTTTTACTTAATAAATAATTTGTAACCTTATCTATAAACATTATTTAACCTGAAAAAGGCAGAGGAACATGATTTTTTCATAGCTTATGTCACTGTAATTTTTTATTTTTTTTATGCACAGTATGCAACAGCAGTATTTGCACTGTAAACCTTTTTTATTCATATAAAGTGTGTGTAAGTGTGTGTGTGTGTGGGGGGGGGGGGGGGGGAGGAGGCTTGGGGGGCCTCCATGTCCATTTTGCTTGGGGCCCCCAAATTCCTTCAAACGGCCCTGACCGTGATCTTGTCTGTTATGCAGATATTAATATCATCATGTCTGTTACATTATAGTGTTAGTTTCACAGTTTTGATCAGTGTTAATGAACAGAACAAAACAGGTGTTTGAACGTTTTCTGTCCTCTAGTGGACAATCCGGGCCCTGTCCCAAATGACACACTTCATGTGCACTTTCGGCCTTGTGGACTTACAATGGCTGCGTGCACGAGTCCGTTACGTCCATGAGACGGTAGGGTCCCATTTGCCATTTTAGGTGTCAGAAGGGTCGTGAGTGCCCCCTTTGCGGTCAATATGTGCCCTCGATGCGCACTTTTGCCTTAGCAAGACTGCGAGTGTTTAGGGTGCCATTTGGGACAGGGCCCAATATGTTGGGAATGTGGGTTTCATTACAGTTTTATAATGTGAATGAGAGACTGAATTTTTTTAATATGCATTTAAAAACTTAATTTAACCCTCAAATATAACCAAAAGTTATATTTTTATAACTTTTTTAAATTAATAAATAAAAAAACCTATACTGAGTAATGATGTCAAGTCTCATTAATTGTCTTGGTAAGTATAATATATTAAAGAATGTACTATTACACATAATGTATAATATTTTTAAATTTGCAATTACTCATTTTATGTTAAAATTATAAGCCTGCAGTTTTCTGTTAAAGACATTGGAGAAAACATTAGTTTGACTTTGAATTTACACTTTCACATCCGTTCACTGCGCCAAATGTCAAAATGTTTTATAGTTGATGTGAGCTACTTCCGGAGAATCGAATCTGATCCATTTACAAATCCCAATGAACTCACTTTTTCCCAGCAGTGAAATGATAAAAAATCTATCGATCTGAAGTTGGTTAAATATAATAACTCACTTAGAAAATTGAAATAATGACTTTAATCGTCGCTGTCAGCTCGTTTAAAAACGGCTCTATGACATTTAACTCTGTCTTACAGAAGCTTTTCTGTTTGCCTTGGGGATTTTGTGTCCTCTTCGGCATCTTTTTCGTGTCCCCCAAGGATCCATTCTTGGGCCTATCCTATTTTCCTTATTCTTCTAGGGTCTATTTTTAAGAAGTATGGTATCTCATTTCACTTTTACGCAGATGATACACAGCTCTATCTGCCTCTGAAACGGAAAGATGCTAACTCAATAGCACCATTGTTGCACTGTGGATATTAAAGCCTGGATAGCCTTACATTTTTAAAAATGTAATGAAGAAAAAACAGAAGTCATAATATTTGGTGCCTGTGAGTTTCCTGATTTGGATTTGAGTGCCAAAAAACCTTAC